GAGGCTGTGAGTTGTGCTCTTGCTGAGCCACACGCAAGATGGGTGCAGAGGCCAAATTGATGTAGCTGCCCATCCCTTGTGAAGCAGTGCTGTCCCAGGGCCTCCAGGATGGTCAACCAGAGTGCCCAGTAACACTGGCAGGCTTCTGAACAAGTTAGCAAACTTGCTTAGGTATTGCCAGGGGTGCCTTGCTCTCACTGTCCATGCCCAGTAGCCCTTGCAATGCAGAGACCCCAAAGACCTCAGGACTGGGAGGAGGTTCTCTGCAGCTGCATGCATCTGACCACCAGCTGGTTTCTAAGCACTTTCCTTGCTTTCTCACTAGAAGAGAGGTCTGAATTTGTCTTGATCAAACCCAGGGCTCACTGAGAGATTGCTGGAGACCTGTTCCCCTCTGAGTGCCCTGCTAGGACCAGAAATGGGCTTCTGCAGCCTGGAGGGGCAGCCTTAATGTTGTAGCAGTAATCTCTTCCCCTGAAGGGTGACAGCGCAACCAAGGATGTCCTTAGCCATGGTTTGCCCTGGGAATGCCATGCTCCCGCAGCTCAGAAGCCTGGGAGTGAGGTGCTGTGGCCCCTATAGGTGGTGGCACTTGTTGCAGTAGATCAAATGTATGAATCCCCAAACAGTTGAGCATAGCCCGTTGCTCACCCCTTGTGACACTTTGAAAGGCTCATGGTTTGGATGGAGCCTCCCTGCCCCTGTGCTGGGGGGAGCCCCATCTCCTTGCTCCTACCGGACCCAATATGGGGGAGTTCCTGACTCTTTTATTTGCATGATGGTAGGAGAGATGACAGCTGGAATGGAAATTCTGAGTACAAACAAACCGCACAGTTTGGGAACTTGCTGATTGCTGCAACAAAAGCCTGAAGGTTGCACTACATCTTGTCCAGTGTTTTCTCTTCCCTGTCTGGCATGGGGGCACCTTCCTCAGCAGACCTCATCTGTGCAGGTTGCTCTTTGTGACCCTTCAGAGGGGGTTGGCCAGGGAGCCCTAAGGGGAGAGGCTGGTGACTGATACGTGGGAAGCAGCATGGGAGAGCAGGGACGGCATCTTAGGAAGGGTGGTGTGAGGGCAGCAACATACATGGGAAGATTGAATATCAGAGCACTGAAAGGGGGATGTGGGCTGCACAAGCTTGTGATAGAAACCGAGGCTGAAGGCAAGTGGTGGGTGGGGATGGGGTGGGGATGAGCAGCAGCTCTCTGGATGGGCTCCCAGGCTCTTGTCCCTCAGTCCCTCTGATGTCCTAGCAGGGAGGAGACAGAGAGGCAGAAGCCCAGGGGATCTGGCTGTCATGCAGGGGTGGTTAATAATAACAGTTATACTTTCCTTGTGGTTGATCTGTACAAGTCAAGTGTCCTTGACAGATGAAGACAGCTTGTAAACTGAAACGGGCTCCTGCACGCATGCTGCCAGCTCCAGTGCCACAGCAGCTCCCCAGCACCCACAGCAAGCCAGGATGCAGGAACCCAACCAGCTGCCATCAGGACAGGTGCTCGTCATGGAACAGGGCAAAGCACTCTGACTCGTTTTCCTTGTAGTCCCGTGGTTGGAAAAAATGCTTTCCAGTCGACTAACTGGAGATTTGCTGAAAGGTCAGGAGCTAATGGTGTTTTTCATATCCAGGCTTCTCTATGACTCAAGACTTGTGTATTTGCTGCCAGCAGTGTCCTGCAGTAGGGTCCTCTTGCCACCTTTGGTGCCAGGGGACAGGTGCCAGATATGCCACTGTATGAAGGTAACCTGAGATCTCTCTTGTTTCTGGGCACTGGCAGGAATAGACCAGGTTGCTAGAGGGACAGAGAGAATAAAAATGTGGAGAAAGGGCCAAGCAGGCTTATGGCACGAGATCGCTCTATGTATCTAAGGGCACAGAGGGCCTGTTCAGTTTAGTATATGGGAGTTTGCTTGAGGCTAGTGAAGCAAAGCAGAATAATGGAGCTGAATATCCAGGTGCTCCTCCTGATGGGGGCAAGAGGTTATACCATGATGGACACTGCATGTTTAGCCCTGTGAGTCAGCCTGTCTGATTTTAGGACTACCTCCACCACATGAGGGATGGCTGTTGGATGTCTGGAGAGATGTCTCTGAATCAGCTGATCCATGAGCTCCGTGTCCACTGAAGTTACAAGATGCAAGTTTTTCGTCTTCAATCCCTGCATTTAGATCCTGCGAGGACATGTTCCTGCTTCAGCAGTGTGTCTGCCCACTGAGACCAGGCTGGGAGTGTAGGAGACTTTGAGGGCTCTGGTTATCAAAAAAAAAAACACCTCCCAAGAGCTCTGATTGAAAATCATGAGCAGACCAGAGCTGCTGTCTCTTTCCTTATTCACAGGAGGAGATTGAAATGGTAGTGCGTATCTGCTGATAAGTAGATTTGATATCCTAGTGTACATAGCAGTACTTCCTTTCCTTCGTACCCTGCAAATGCCGGGCTGCCTTCATCCAGCCTCCTTACCTAACTGAGCTGAGCAATGCAGTCTACGGAGCAGCCACAGGTGCTGGCTCTTCTCCATCTTTTCCTCAGTAGCAAAAAGTGCAGATCCCAGAAGTATGCTGCTGTTAGGCCAGGGGCTTCCAGGGCTTAGCTCCTCTCAGGCTCCTCTCTGCCCAGTTCGTGGTTCCCTGGCTGCTCTGCATGCAGCTCTGCTGATGCATATCAACCCTGAGCACCCCTGGCAGTCTGTCCATCTGCTCTGCCAGCAGCAGCTCTCAACACCTGCAGTACACCATTTGGAGCTCAGGTTGGAAGTAAGATGCAAGAGGTGGGGATATGTTCACCCAACATATCTGAGCTGCCGTGTCCTGCTGTCATGGGCTGTCAGAGGGTTGTCTTGTAATAACCTTCACCATTGGTGGTTGGAGCTTGAGGCTGTGTGCCACTTACAGACAGCCCTGAAGATAAAAAGGCTGGTAATCAGCTAGTACTCAAACATAAATGTCAAGCCAAGGTTGTTCTAGCAGATTTCCTCACGAGACTGTGGTGCAAAAAGGAAGGAAGCTGTGTTGAGAGATCTTCCTGCCCACAGCAGCTTGATGGTGGTGGAGTATCTGGGACATGAGGGAACAGCCGTTCAGCTTATTTGGGGTGCAGTTGGTCACTATGTCTCCCCCAGCAGCTAAAGCCAGCCAAAAAAGATCTGTTGCAGTGTGCCACATCCAAGCAGCATTCTCACTTGCATTTTTTAATGTTTTATTTGTTCAGACAATTTTTAACACCTGTTGGTAATGATGCTGGTCAACAGCCAGCTGAACATGAGCCAGCAATGTGCCCAGGTGGCCAAGAGGGCCAACTGCATCCTAACCTGTATCAGAAATAGTGTGGCCAGCAGGACTAAGGAAGTGATTGTCTCCCTGTATGCTGCAGCACTGGTGAGGCAGCACCTCAAATCCTGTGTCCAGTTTTCGGCTCCTCACTGCAAGGACATTGGCATGCTAGAGCATGTCCAGAGAAAGGTAATGAAGCTGATGAAGGGTCTAGAGGACAAATCGTAGGAAGAGCGGCTGAAGGAGCTGGGGTTGTTTAGCGTGGGGAAAAGGAGGCTCAGGGGAGAACTTATTGCTCTCTACAGCTACCTGAAAGGAGGTTGTAGCAATGTGTGTGGTCTGTCTCTTCTCCCAAGTAACAAGTGATAGAACAAGAGGAAATGGCCTCAAGTTGTACGGGGGAAGTCTGGATTCTTAGATTCTATGCAATTTACTGTGCATTGTCCTGCAGACAATGGGGGCAGCAGACAGGAATGAAGCACTACAATGCTGGGGACAGGCTGGAATCAGGGTCATCAGCAAAATCTGCTTTTGCCCTCTGCAAAGCTGCATGGGCCTCAGTGGATTGAACCTTCTGGTGACCAAGTGTCTGCCTCCATTGCTTGCAGTGGTGGGACTTGAGAAATACTTTGGTTTTGCTTTCAGTTCAACCAGGCTTTAGCTGCCCTGATGCTGCTCTCTGGAGGCCGTCGCTGTCCTTCCTTCCTTCTCTCTTTGTGCTACATTACTGAGTACAGGCATGGTGATGAGACTGTACAAACTAAAGAGCTGATCTCCTTACCCACCAGGCTGGAGGACTCCAAACCAAGCCTGGTCTTTTCCAAAAATATAAAGTCAGCTTTGTACTCATTTAAAAAAAAAAATGTACAGCCCCTAGTGCTACAGGCACTATCAAAAACTCTAGTTTGTCCAGAAAATAAAATATGTCCCATCTTACAGCATTTCCCAAATAAAAAGGGGAAGAAGCTTCTGACAAGGTTGCCTGTTTGTGTGGGCCTTGGGACTTTAAAAGTTTGGGCCAGGGTGTTCTCCTGAAGATTCTCTGGTATTGCTGACCTGCAAGTGAGTGTGTAAAAGAGCATAAGAAAGAAGGAAGATAGAAGCAAGTGGAGCAGATGTCAGTCTTAGCATAGTGGTGAGCAGCATGCCCATACCCTGTGGTGGGTACAGGAGATGCCTTGTACAGAACTGAAATCCTTGAGAGTGGTGGTGGTGGCTTATGTGTGCTTGCAGGCTGCCATGATCCAGAGTCCCCTGCCTTGGGAGCAGCTGAAGAGCCAGAAGTTTGCTTTTACCAAACTGTGGGTTTTTTTGAATTGGCCTTGAATAAATCCTCTCTACCAGTTGAAGAGAGGTGGCAGCCAGAAGGTGGGAAGCAAAGCACTAGCTCTGGAAGAGGGGAGCACTGGAGCTAGCCAGATCTACCAAATCTGCCTGCACTGCTTTTACTTGCCTGGTTCATTTTCTTCTGTAGGATTCACAAGGGCTTAATTTCAATTTGCTGCAAATTTGGTGGGACTAGTGCTTAGCCAGAGTGGTTCCTGTGGGGAAACCAGATGGACCAGCATCAGGAAAGCAGTGGGGGTAGCTGAGGTGCCAGGGCTCATTGGCACCTTGGGGTGCAGGGTCTCTGCTGATCCCACAGTAGAGAGCAGGGTTCCAGTTAGGTGGGAACACTTGCCCTGCCATCGCAGCCCCCTGGGCTGAGCAGTGAAACTCAGGGAGCAGTAGAGCTGTGGGGAGCAGGACCCTGCCACGTGCCCCAGGAGGCATTGCCATGTCCCCCACTCCCTGCTTCACTCCTCTGTTCCCTGCTTTCTCCTGACTCCTTGCCCTGACCCCCACAGCCTGGCCTGGGGACCTGTGGGGGAGCCTACTTAATTCCTGGTCTCTTTGAACAGCCACCATCCAGTTGCAATGGAAACTTTTTTTAGGCGGCACTTTGGACGGAAGAGGCTGCGGCACACCAGCGTGGTGGCCGTGCCCACAGGCAAGGCCAGGCGTCGCTCCCAGGTGGGGCTGCCTTCCACCATGCTGGCCCAGCGCCGCCGCGGCTCAGGTACTCCAGAGGCATCCCTCTCCTGCCTGGGCCTGGTCCGGCGTCCTGGCACCCGCCGACGCTCCAGCACCACACCGCCCTGCCTCAGCCCCAGGTTTGCTGTGCAGGCGAAGCGCGGGGGCCAGGCACAAGCCATTGATGCCCAACTGCTGGGTCCCTCTGTCCTCCTGGCCAGCCTCGTTCCCATGGGAGAGGAGGGGAACAGGGCTCCCCATGCTGACAGCTCCAAATCCGAGTCTCTGGAGGATGGTGGCACAGCAGCAGAAGCTGAGCAGGGCCAGCATGAGCGTTGGGCTGAGGAGACATGGCTGGCCATGCTGCCCCAGCTGCGGCCACTCCAGGGGGGGCTGCTGTCATGGGGCCCCCGCTGCCTGCGGCGCTCCTCCTCCCACCACCTGCCCACCGAGGTTGTGTACAGCCGGGCTGCCTACGGCCTGCCAGGCCGCTACCGCCGCCTCAGCCAGCGCCGGCGCTCCAGCGATCCCCTCCGACCTGGGCTGTTCCCCTCCAGCCACCCACGGCTGCTGGCCCCACGCTGTGCAGGGGTGGCCAGAGCCGGGTGCCCCTCTGCCACCTTCCCCGAGGGCTTGGGACCGGAGTCCACCTGCCACGCTGCCCCGGATGGCTGGAGCCCCCGGTTGCTGTATGTATGGCGACAGCATGCAAGTGGGCAATCAGTGCCTTGGGGAGGGGAGAAATTGGATGCAGACTCAGGCTTGGTGGGGAAGGAGGGACGGGACTCGGTGCCTTTGGCCCTGGTTACCATTGGTGTTTTGCAGTGCTGCTGGCATACCTTGAGCATCTTCCACTCGGGCCAGTGCTGCTGCTGATGCTTTCAGTGCAGCCCCTGGAGTTTGCGGATGTCCTCTCCTGCCAGACTGGGGCCAGAGGGAGATGGCAGGCCTGGTTGTGGGCTGGAGGTGCACACTTTCTCCTGCTGGCTGGATCACCTGCTCCTTTCCTCCACCCTAGCGCATCTGGGGAGAAGCTCGCTAGCCCCAAACAAACAGCAGCTTTTATTCTGGCTGGTTGTGCTGGTCCCTGCAAGAACTCCAAGCTCTGATGTGCCTTAGTATGGGAGAGCTCTAGGGAGCCTCTGTGGGCCAGGGGGTCTGGATTGTCCCTGCAAAGGCAGCCTTACCACCACAGCTTGTTGGAGACTTCCAGGGTATTTTGCAATGGAACTGTCATCCCCAAGGGCATTGACCCAGCAGGCCCAGGCTGTGCCTTTTGCTGGGTACAAGGTGTCTTTAGCTGAGCTGTCAGCAATGTGGGCAGCACCTCTTCATCCCACAGAGCTGTCTCATAGGAACAGGCACTCCTCAGCCAGCTGTGCTCGAGGTGCACCTCATTTCCAGCCACTTGGTCTTGAGGAAGCTTGTCTGCTCCAGCCTGACATTGCATCTTAGAAGCAATTTGTTATTCCTCCTACCTTGATTTAATAGCCAGCCTCGCTGTGTCTTCCAGGAAAGCTATTGCCAAATCCAGCCTCCAGCACATGATAGCCCAGCCAAACCCTGCACTAGCCCTGAGGAGCGACTCGGAGAGGCAGATACGCAGCACTGTGGACTGGAGCGTAAGTTGTAACTCATTTTGCTGGGCATTGCATGGAATAGGCTCCCAGCCAGGAAGCAGAAGGCTCTTCCCAGGTTGAGGCTTCCCAGGTGACTGACTTTGACACATTTATGGCCTATGCCATTGCCACCAGCTGGTGCCAATGTCTGTGCTGCTGGCAGCACTGCTTGATGCTGCAAGGAGAAGCTGTGCAGACACAAGTAGTTCCTGGGAGTATGACATAATTACTCCACTGCCAGTTCTTCTGCTTCTGACAGCTGAGATCTGGTGGCTGGGGCCAAGCAACAAGGAGCAAGTCCCTGCTCCTTTGCAGGCAAAGCCTGGCAGGCTTTAAGCTGCATCCTGAGGTTGTAGAGCAGAAGCTGGTTCAGGAGAGTCCCCTGCACTGAATTTGTGCCGATGCCTCCTCTCAGGGGATGATGAATCAGCTCCCCTGTGCAGGACACTGCAACTGGGATGTAGGAGTTAGTTTCCTGGGGCCCTCTCATTTCCGACAGATTGGCCATGGCAGTAGCTTTGTGAGGTTTCCTCTGTCCAGATGTTGTCCCTCTCTGTTGTGTGCATCTTGTCTCCTGGCCTACCCCTAGCTCCAACCTCCTACCCCCTAGCGTTGTCTAGTATCTTGTCCCTTGCATAAAGCATTTTAGGGGCTCGGTTGCCTGTCTGGGGGTGCTCTCAGAGAAATGTGTTGTCTTGTGCCTTTCAGGAGACTGCGATATATGGGGAGCACATCTGGTTTGAGACCAACGTCTCTGGGGACTTCTGCTATGTTGGGGAGCAGAACTGCATGGCAAAGCTGTTGGTGAGTCATCTGGGATCACCCACCTCCCCGGTAAAGGCTGAAGTTGCAGGCTGGGCTGTCACATGATGAGTGACAATGGAGTCTGTACTCCTGCTGCTGGGGGACATCCAGAGGTCTGGGGAGCTGCCAAGACAGGGAGTGTGTCCCTCCTGCCTCTGCACACTGGAGGGCTGAGTCTGTAGTTTCTGCCAGTGCTGGTGCTCAGTTTGCAATAGGAACCGGATGCAGGGCTGCCACTTGCCCAGAGTATTCCAGGGAGAGGGTGTTAGGATCCCACACCCTTATAAGGATAATCTGAATCCAAGACCTTTCAATGGAGGAGAAAAATGTGTGCTGGAGACCCAAGCCCCTGCAGGCAGCACTGTTCTTACAGGGTTGCTGCAGTCCTCCCTCCCAGCTTGCAGGTTCAGTCCTACTTATGATGTAGGATGGAGCAGGGATGTGACAGTGCCTGCTCATGGGGCTTACTGGGGGAGCCGTGCAGGTGCCTCCCAGACCAGCTGCCATGGTGCTCTCAGGCAGTGTCAGAAGAGTCCAAGAACTGCAGGACAGGACAGTGAGGAAAATACCTCTCTGTTCTGTGCCAGGCTTGAGACCATCTGGTGTAGGCACATGCTTCGATCCTTTCACTTGCAAGGAGTCTAGGCTGTGTCTAACTTTACTATGGGGCGTGTTCTGTATCCCAATATATATGAAGGAGGTATGATGGGAGGCTGAGTTTGCCGGTCTCAGAACACTGCGTGTTTTCACTCACATGCATGTTTTTCTTCCCCTTTTCTTATCCTGCAGCAAAAACCGCTCTCCAGGCGTAAGTGTGCAGCCTGCAAGATTGTAGTGCATACACCCTGCATCGAACAGCTGGAGAAAGTGAGTAGAGCCTGTTGAGCCCTCTCTGCAGCTCACAAAACCGTAACAGCCCTTCCTTTTTGGCAATAAAAGACAAGAAGATTGGGGAACTGCAATGTGTAATTGCAAAGAGGGGTCTTCTGAGGAGACAGTACCAAAAGGAGTGACATGATTGGGACCCTTGGCCCCATTTTGTTCAGTAACAGAGATATGTGAGGGTTTTGCAGCAAGTACCAAACAGCTCTAGAAGTTCTGGGCCTTGCTGTAGTACAGTAAACTCCAGTAGGTTGCCTTGAGGTATGATGGTTTTACTAATTCCTCTCGTGTGTGTTCAATCTACAGATAAATTTCCGCTGCAAACCTTCCTTCAGGGAGTCAGGATCCCGGAACATACGGGAGGTGAGAGATGTGCCTCGGACACTGCCCACATCTACCTTTACTCTTTCCAGTGTGGTGACAAAAACACCAGATGCTGCCAGCATCTTGCCCATCAGAGTTCAGGCATCATGCTGCTTCCTGCTCCAAGGGGGTGGTGCAGTAAAAGGAATGTTTCTTTGCCAGGCAGCAGTGCAGACTGAGTGTGAGGAGTGGGGAGCTTGCAGGCAAGGAATGTAAAGCATGTTCTGAAGTTCCTGAATCTGCATGGCGAGAATCTGCAGACTGTTTTCTGGAATAAACTTTCCCCCTCGTGTTGGTCCCCAGGCACAATAGACAGGGCTATTGCAAAGAGCAGGTTCCCAAGTCTGCAATGTGGAAGGAAGCAGTACGGGCTCATTTCTTGCTTTATCACTCAGCCCTGACTGGGGTGTCACAGGTACTGCAGGTAGCAGTGGAAGATGCCTGCAGCAGTGCTATCAGACCACTTTAGCCCATGTTTTAAGATACTGGGTGTAAGAGGTGGCCTGGGACCTGTCTGCTGAGCTGCACTGATGGAAGCAACTGTCAGCCTTCATGTTTCTCCCTCGAGCCTATGGAGTCAGTGTAGCCCATGCAGTGCTCTGGAGTGGGTGTGGATGGCTCAGTCATGGGCCATAATGGTAACACAGCTGCCCTCACACTGTGTTTGTGCTGGCACAGCAGATGCAGTAGGGGAAAGGTATTCAAACACAGGGCTGCCTGCTTTCAAATGCCAATGTGACATCAGAAAGCAAAGCTTTCAGCATCACTTTAAACCTTCCTTTCTTGCTTTGCTCTTCTTGCCATATCTCCTTCCCATATCACTCTTAGCCTAGCTCACCTATTTGTGCTTCACTTATTTTTAGGGCTCTGCTGACAGCTGTCTGCCTCTGCTCGATCTTCTGTCTCTATTTTTCTTCTGTCCAAACTCTACAAATTTTCCCTCCCCTTTCTTGGTTTTTCTTTTTTTCTCTCAAACTCTGCTTCTCCATCCTGTCTTTCTAATGCTTCTCAGTTCCTTCAAGGCCTCTTCCTTCCCATTTCCCTAGAAATGTGCTCTTCTGGCCTTTGTGGTGCCAGGGATCTCAGTCGGGGTCAGCCCTCTCCCTAGATGTGCCTGCTGGGACTTAGAGTTCAGCTCAAGGCATAGCCCCCCTTCTGCTCCTACTAGATTCATGTCTGCTAAAGCCAACAGGTCTCTTTGTCCTCTCCAGTGTGCTGCACTCAGAGCAGGCAACACTGGAGCTGACCCAAACCTCCTGCCAGTTTGTGCCTCTGTCATCATGATCCCAAAAGCTGTCAGGAGCGGGATGTTGGGCCCTGCCACAGCCTGTGAATTCTCACTCCCTCTTCTGTTTTTGCTATTCTCTCTGCAGTGCCATTCCTAATCCAGGGCTGGAAGTGTAGGGTAGGATTTAGGACATGCGGTGCTTCCTTACAAAACTTCTGAGTCCCTCACTGCAAGTGACTCCTGCAAGCCCCAGCCCTCTCCCACCATGAGCCTGCAGGCAGGGCAGAGGTGCCTGCTTGCTGCCCACCCTGTGGCTGAGGCAGGCTGCAGGATTGCCCTGGGGCAAAGAGCAGGGAGAAGTGGGTGTAGGGGGCTTTGGGTCCGCCGCTGTCCTAGAGGAATGGGGAAGATAGGTTCTCTGCTTAGCTGCAAGCACTTCTGTCTCTCTATGGGCACAAACTGTGTCTCCCTGGGGATTTTCACACCTTCCACCAGCAGGTTTTTCACCTGGCACTAGGGGCATCTGGACAGAGACGTTAAGGGACTGAGATGTGCTACTGCTTGTCCCCTGTCTCTTGGGTCTGCTTTCTGTGATTTTCAGTCTTCAGTTTCCCTCTCCTCCTTCCTATTTCTTCTGGTTTTGATTCCCTTTTCTCTGAGCATCTTAATTTGGCCTCATGCCCCCAATTCTTTGGCTTTGCCTTCTCTCAGAGGGTTGGGGCTGGTGCCTGTGAGCAGTGGGTTTGCTGTAAGAGCAGTGGTCCTGGTTGGCTTGGGTCCATTATTTCTGCCTGTTCCTGCATTCCTTCACATGCTGGGCCTTTCATTCCCCTTTTTTTTCTTTTTTTTTTTTGTTTTCCCTTTAGCCCATCGTTGTCCGGCATCACTGGGTGCACCGGAGGCGGCAGGAAGGGAAATGCCGGCAGTGTGGCAAGGTGAGAAGGTATCTTGGGGTGTTTTTCTCAGCCTCAGGAAATCTAAGGTCAAATGAGAGACAAGAACAGGGCTGGGAACCAGGGACATCCCACCATTCTTGTTTGGCAGTAAAACCAAGACACGTGCTCTGTTTTGCTCAGTGAAGCACTATGTAAATGCTTCCCACATAGAGTAGTTTTCCCCCTGGGCCCAATCAATCCTGAAAGAGACTGTCTTCCTGTCATGCTTTCTTTGAGCATTAAGGACACCCCTGCAGAGCACAGTGACCTCCCTGGTGCCATAGTGGTGGTTGGGGCTATCTGACAGGGATCTAGAGGGCTCCAGCTGCAGACATGCTCTCTTTGTTAATCTCTCTCTTACTGCTGGGAAAGTCCTGTTGGAAGGTAGAAAACCCTGAGGGAATTCCCTAAGCCTCTTATCCTTTCTTCCACAGGGTTTTCAGCAGAAGTTTGCCTTCCACAGTAAAGAGATTGTAGCCATCAGCTGTTCCTGGTGCAAGCAAGCGGTGAGCAAAGCCCCATAGAATGCCTGACCAGCCTGTTCTGCACCTAATGACCTCTGCTTTCTGCTGAGACTCCCCAGGCTGCTTCTCTGCAGCCTACCCTTAACAGCTCCTCCTACTGACTGAGGCTGTAATGTGATATTTGTGAACTCCTAGAAACTTTCTCTTCATTGCCTTCCCATTACAAAATTTCTGTATGATTTCCTTCAGCACTCCTTGTATTGGCATGTGGGAGCTGGGAGAAGATGGTTGCTGTCCCTAGAAAACTGAGCAGCTGAGTTTTTTCTCTGTCTTCTCATTCCCCAGTATCATAGCAAAGTGTCATGTTTCATGCTGCAACACATTGAAGAGCCCTGCTCGCTGGGGGCTCATGCTGCTGTCGTTGTTCCTCCCACCTGGATTCTGCGGGTCCGACGGCCCCAGGTAAGTCATCTTGGTTCTTGTGACTCTTTCTCAACTCCCACTTGCCCAGTGGCTCCTTACGGAGTTGCTGTGTTTATTTCTTTTGTGTCTAGAATCCACTAAAATCTAGTAAGAAGAAGAAGAGGACATCATTCAAGCGGAAATCCAGCAAAAAGGGGGCCGAGGTAAGAGATCAGGGGACAAGGAATAACCTTGTCTTGGAAGGGCAGAGGGGCTGAACAGTGAGGAGCAGGGCTGGGAAACAAAGGGGGCTTTGCTGGGTCTGTGCTGAGGTTAAGGAAGTTGAGCTGGAGGGCAGATGCCTCCTGGTAGGGTATATTCCAGCTGTGAGGTTTATGGGGTGACTGGGATGTTCTCTTCCTCACCCTTCTGACCTGCATGATGTTAGGGCTCAGCTGGAAGTGGGAGTTTGCATTTTCCCAGGTTTGTTGAAGGACCTGTGGTGTCTCTTGCAGGAAGGGAGGTGGAAACCCTTTGTCATCAAGCCTATGCCAGCTCCTCTTATGAAGCCCTTACTGGTGTTTGTGAACCCCAAGAGCGGTGGGAATCAGGTATGGCCTTGCCCAGTGTCTCCCTGAGAAAGCATCTCCATGAGGGCATTGCCATTTGACTGCCAAGGTCTCATCATGGTTTTGGTGATGTCTCAGCTGCAGAAGAGGCACAGCAATCACCACAATGCCAGTTTTCTGCCCAGCAACTCCTACCTAGGCTAGGCTTTGCCTCTGTGCCTCTCAGAATGATGTTGTCTTGGGCTGTCCCCAGGACCAGATGCCTTCTTCCACTGTCCACTGGGAACTCCCTGTTACCTGATGTCTTTCTTCTCCCCATAGGGAGCCAAGATCATCCAGTCCTTCATGTGGTATCTCAATCCACGGCAAGTTTTTGACCTCAGCCAAGGTGGACCCAAGGAGGCGTGAGTACTGATGGAGGCAGCATCTTTCTCTCCTCCATCCCTGCCCCAGAGATTGCTTGATGCTCCATAGCTCCCACCTGCAAAGAGACCTCCAACATTTTGAGAGGCCTCTCTAGGATAGCTTGTGGTCAGTTGGTGATTCCTGCTGGAGGGCTGGTCTAGTCTTAAGGCTAGTGGCAAAGAGACTATCTATGGGGTGAGGTTCCCAGACTTAGTTCCTTATATTTAATTAACATTGTGTGAGTCTTGTCTCCTTGCTTGGGTTATCTGTGTGTGCACAGCCTGTAGACACTCCACTCTTCCTATGCAAGAGCTGGTGAAACCAAAGTTACTGTGGCTTTGCCCACTGTTGAGAACACCTGTGGCAATGGGAGAGTAGACACTTTGCGAATACCAAGGGCTCTGTGAGGCAGCTGCTGCGTAACACCTTCAGTACTTCTTCCCTCCCTCCTTAACCTCCCTGTTCCCTGCAGGCTGGAGCTGTACCGCAAAGTCCACAACCTCCGGATCCTGGCGTGTGGGGGAGACGGCACGGTGAGTCCCCCAGGCCCTTGGTGCCTGTGTTGCCCTTGCCCCATGCCCTTCCAGTGCAGGAAGCAGCCCTTCCTTATTGTAATCCAGAATGAGGCAAACTGTGCACTGTGGCACTGGATACTGTGGGTGCCCTTATGCCCTGCTTCAGGGAGTGATAGTCTGGATTTGTAGCTCTTTAGGAGGCCAGTATCTTCACTGGGGTTACTAGTATCTCCTGCATCACCTGTTTGGAGCATTAAAGACTATGAATAACCTTGGTGGTGGCTAAGGGGACCCCATCTCTGCCATCGCAAGTGCTCTGAGCCACCTCTGCCTGCTTGATGGTCCCTGAAATAACCGCTCCTTTGCACTCTCTTGCTTGAGCAGGTGGGCTGGATACTCTCCATTCTGGACCAGTTACGGATCAACCCACCTCCTCCTGTGGCCATCCTACCTTTGGGAACAGGGAATGACTTGGCCAGAACACTGAACTGGGGTGGGGTAAGTGATGGGCACGAGAGCCCACTGCTGACAGAGAAGGGCTGAGCGCTTCAACTCCTCTTCCAGACACATGGGTGGGATTTTGCATGGGCTACTGTTTTGACTTCCCATAAAAACAGATCAACAAATAAGTGCCATTTGGATGTTACCATTCTTCTAACATTTGAATTGTTCTGCATTAGATAATAGTCTAGTAGGATGTTAACAAAAGCAATCACTATTTCAAACTTCAGGAGATTTTTAGAAGGAAGATATATTGTTTTAAATTTAAAGTCCCACTTTGTTGTGCATTCAAGTAGAGTTGATCTCTTCTACATCTTATGCTCTGGGATGTCTTACCAAAGCCTGCTGTCTCTGGGGCATCTCTGTGGGAGGCAGGCATGAGACTCACCAAGTCCTTCTCTTCACCAGGGTTACACGGATGAACCTCTGTCCAAGATCCTGTCTCATGTAGAAGATGGGAACATAGTGCAGCTCGATCGCTGGAACCTCCATGTGGAGCCAAACCCTGACACAAACCCTGAGGAAAAGGATGAGGCAGCCACTGACAAGGTGGGACACTCCTCTCTGTATTTGTTTCCTGTCCTGGGGTTCTGCATTCTCCTTTCTCCCACTGGCTCAGGCAGCCCTAGCACCTGGGGCTAGAGTGTTGGGTTGGTGTTTCTCTCTCCCTCCTCTAATTTCACTGCTCTCATCATGGCTCTGAGTCACAGTGCTCATGGCAAGGCATGTAGAGTTCAGAACTAAATGTCTATGGTTTTTAACCATAGCTTGCAACAGGTATAAACCCAGTCCCCTCTGAGACTGTTTCTTTAGCAGACACATGGGTATTTGCAGATATCTCAGACAGCAGAGTGTGTTCCCTTGGGCCTAGGAGCCAGGGACCAATCCATCATCTCATGCTGGTAACCTCTGTATTTTCCGGGGGAGAAGGCAAGCAGGCTTCCTCAGCCTCATGAGCACTGTACGTGGCTCTGCTGTAACCTGACCTCATCTTTGCCACGGCCACACACCGGCAGTCTCATCCTTATTCCTCCTTTCCATTTCAGCTGCCTTTGGATGTCTTTAATAACTACTTCAGCCTTGGCTTTGATGCACGGGTGACGCTGGAGTTTCATGAATCCCGAGGTACAGGGCAGTGGCAGGGCTTGGGCAGGGTCTGTGGGATGGACCCGTTCGTGGTTTTGGGTTCCTCAGGAAAGTGAACAAGAGGATTTCCCCAGAGACAGGCCTGAACGTTAAACATGAGGAGCAGTTTGAGGCTGCAGAGTGGCAAGAGGGGTTGCCCGCACAGGAAGAGAGCTGGGGTCTGACTCCTGGACGAGGCTGGCTGGAGAACTATGTCTGGGGAGAGCTGGCAAGTGAAATATTTCCATGTGCAGGCCATTGACCTGTACTTTTTTATCCTTTCCCTAGAGGCCAACCCGGAGAAGTTCAACAGCCGGTTTCGGAATAAAATGTTCTATGCTGGGGTGAGTGTGTGGAGGATATCTGAGCATGCCTTCATAGCAACCTTAACATCTGGAGCACAGGCATGGACCTGCCTCCTGTCTGCCCCCTAAACTCACTCATCCAAGTTACATGGACCTTCACCCGCCCTGAAGCTGGAGGATTGCTGGAGAAAGGCTGCAGCACTGGGAGTCACAGCTCCTCTTTGGCTGCGAGAGCTGCTGGCAGTACAGCTTGCTCCATGGCCTGCAGTACAGTTGCTGTCTTGATCTCCTGCCACTATTGTTCTTGTTCTCTGGCTCACGGTTGGTCACCCAGGCAGGACCTCCCCAGAGCTGTGGGGCGGCAGGCTGTCGCCCCTGCAGAGGAAGGAAGCCTTTCCATAGAGTCCCCACACTACTTTGTTCTTTTATTTTATATCTTGGGCCAGTTACAGCTCCCTGGCTAATTATACCACCTTCCCGTATCTCACCTCTAGATTGCGTCTCAGCATTGCCTTTATTCCTCTGTCTCCCCATCCTCAATATACCTTCTACCCAGGTGGCTGGGTGGCTGGTACTTGAGCATACTAAAGGCCAAATGCTGCTCTGTGCCATCTCACATCTGACCTGCTTGCGTCTCTCTTCCTGTCCGTACAGTTAAACCCAAAGGGGAGCCATACTGTCCCTCCTGGTATCTCCAGATGGTGTCACATCAGCTCTGGTTTGTGATGCTTCCTTACAACTTGAGACTGAATTTGTCTCTTGTGACTTGAGCCTTTTGCTAGCAGAGACCCATCTTGCCAGCTCTTCCCTGAAGTCAGAACTGGGCTGGCAAGGGAATACTGAGGCATGTTACTGAAGGTGCCCCAGGGTTTCTGGTAGGCAATATAGCAAATGGAATGTATCGGGTCATTTTGGGACAGGAGGAGGAGAGGGCTTCTGCCAGTGCATGAAAAGGGGATTTGTGGTTTTCAGCAGCTGAGATCTGCAGGTCAGTGGCAGGCTTCCTGGCTGCCCGTTTCGGTGAACATCTGGACACTAACACTGGCTCTTACCTTGGCAGACGGCCTTCTCTGACTTCCTCACTGGGAGCTCCAAGGACTTGGCAAAGCATGTCAGGCTGGTTGTGAGTATGCTGGGGTGCTCTGGTGCAGTGAAGGGGTGAGCTGTGGAGATGTGAGGAGTGGTCCCTTGGCACACTGAGTATCTCAGTGTTAGGGAGTGGATATGTTCCTGGGACATCAGCTTCCTCTGACTTGGAGGACAGTCACTGTAGGGAACAGAGGAGGGAGGCCATTTCTTCCAAGGTGGGTAGGATGGACCAGGCTCCCCCTTAAAGCAGCCTGAACACCTCTGTATTGTCTCCAGTGTGATGGGACAGACCTGACCTCCAAGATTCAGGACCTGAAGCCCCAGTGCCTGGTCTTCCTGAATATCCCAAGGTGAGCAGTCCCAGGACCTGTCTTCATATGCTGGCCTTCTCGCCCATGTGCCGCAGATCCCTGCCTGGGTTTGGGGTGCCTGTCCATGCATCTCTTACCATCTTTTCACAGGTACTGTGCAGGCACCATGCCCTGGGGCAACCCTGGAGAGCACCATGACTTCGAACCTCAACGCCATGACGATGGTTGCATTGAAGTTATTGGCTTCACCATGACATCCCTGGTAAGTCAGTGCTTTTGCCAGTTGTAGCTAACAACTAAGGAAGTGATTGGTCCCATTGACCAGGTGTCAGCCAACTCCACAGATCCTCTCTGGAGAAGCTGTGGGGTTGGCCTGTGTGACAGCGTCTGCTCTCTTGACATTTAGGTGAGGTGCTGTCATGCTCTGGCCTCTGTGGGTCCCTTCTCTCTGAAATCAGGCCTGAGACCCTCAGAACTTGGTTCACTTAAAACATCTAGCTGCCAGTGGGTGCTCCTCTCATCCATCCCTGAGTCCATGCTCTATTCTCACAATGGACCCTTTCACAGGCTGCCTTGCAGGTCGGTGGCCATGGGGAACGGCTCTGTCAGTGCCGGCAGGTGGTTCTCACCACATCCAAGGCCATCCCTATGCAGGTGGATGGAGAACCCTGCAAGCTGGCAGCTTCCTGCATCCACATCTCCCTGCGCAACCAAGCAAACATGGTGCAGAAGACCAAGCGGCGCAACTCCATGCCTCTGCTCAATGAGTAGGTTCCTCAGATCGATCTGCCACCTTCTCTCCAGGGAAGAAGGGTTGGAGGGGGAAGGGATGGACTGATCCATGATTCATGGAGGCATTTCAATCCTCTTTTTTGTAGAGGGTCTGGGAAGGGATCAAGTCACAGAAATATGGCCAGACCGTGGTGGTGGAGAAACTGCTGATGCCAAGCTCCCCACCCAGTCTGTAGAACACTGTGCTCTTGCTTGTTTTGGAGGGATGAGGGAGATAAGGAGAGAGTGGTCTGTCACCTTCTGATCTCTTCTGTCTCCTTCCTCCTTGCACACAGCCAACAGCCAGTGCCCGAGCGACTGCGGATCCGGGTGAACCGAATCAGCATGCGCGACTATGAGGCGCTGAACTATGACAAGGAAAAGCTCAAGGAAGCCTGTGAGTGACCAGCTGAGTGACCAAGGGGCGGGAGCTTCAGTACCCGAGTCTGGCAAAGCCTGTAGTTAAACTGCATGAGGTGTTGGGGATGGGGCACAGGCTGCTCCCTGAGTTGTGTCTGTGCCCTGTCATGCAGCTGTGCCACTGGGGATCATCGTGGTTCCAGGAGACAGTGACCTGGAGTTGTGCCGGACCCAAATCGAGAAGCTGCAGGAGGTGAGTCTCTGTGTGTGAAGTGGTTGTGGCTGGATGCCAAGAATGGAGGGGTTCAGGAAAAGGATTTTTAAACTTTCTTGACTTTCGTGCACCCACACACCCACACTCTTGCTTTAGGTCATGGTTTGCCTTCACCATGTGGTGGAGGCAGGATCCCAAGCTGGATGGCTTGTAGCTCCCTGCTGTTTGGCAGCTTCTTTCTCAACATTGCTCTTCTGACTGTGTTCTCCAAGCCCAGAGCGTCAGTGACACAGAAAATGTATGGAGTAGTGGAAATAGACACCCATCCTGTGGGGGTCTATCACCCTTCAATCCTCTGCAGGTTCTGTGCTTCCTGGCACAGCTCTACCCTCTCCAGGTGCCTGGATTAGGTTTCTAACCCCTCCAACTCTTTTAATTTGCAAGTACTAACTTTTGTGCTCTTGCCAATGTACTAGCACATGTCTGTGACCTGTACACAGACTGTGTAACTCTTACTCCTGGTGAGCAATGCCTTCTGAGTCCATAGTGTGGCTCCTGATGCTGCACTGCTCAATCTGATTCTCACCCAGAAGATTGAAGGGACATTGCTCAGTTCCCAGTTAGCTGAGTCTTGTGCCTGAGGGAATCCTATCCAGCGTGTGCGTAGTGTCCTGCAGGGCTGAGTTGTGGAGCTGCTTGCCTGGGCTGGCACACTGTCATCTGCCTCTTTTTCTTCCTACTCCGCATGTCTGTCCCCTGCTCACCTTGTGCACAGGCACTGGCGAGGACACACAGGCGGGCACATGGCTCCTGGGCTCAGAGGGTAACACTTTCCTATAGTGTCAACATGGTAGACTGATGCCTCTGCTACCTCCTGCGTCTCTAAAACTGTGCACTGAGGGTGGTGTTCCTTGGTCACCTCACGGTTTACCTCTTCTCTCTCCTTGGACATCCACTGTGCTCTGACCTTAAAGCCAGGCAGGGACCAGGGACCTTGGTCAAGCCAGATATGTCAGCACATTAAGCAATTCCAATGGGATGAGAGAGGGGCTGGGGGGCCAGCCAGACACAGACTGTAACAGCACACCTTGCCTTTCTGCAGGATTTCCCTCCACAGCCCTCTGCTTTAGAGTGCCTGCTCTTTCAGGTGTGTATGGCCTCACTCTGTCCACTGGGCCCATCTGTTATGTCCACTGTGCCAGTCTCATGGGCTCGTCTTGTGACACCTCTCCACAGTGGGCTGGTGTGCGTTGGCTCCAGTCTGTCCTGTTCTGCTCTCCGTCGCTCTGTGCTGTGCCCGTGTTCAAGTTCTCCTTTACATCCAAGCACCTGTGGTCCTCTGTGTCTCCAGGAATCTCCCAAAGCAGGAGGGATGCTGTGAAGAGAAATGGGGAGGCCAAAAGATACAACTTTGTCCTCTCTTTTTTTATGCAGGAGGGAGATGGAGCTAAGCCAAAGACACTGTCATTCCAGAAGCTTTCACCCAAGTGGTGCTTCCTGGACTGTGAGTATCATCCTTCCCTGGGAGTGTTGACTGTGTCTGATGATGCGTTAGCAAGGTCCTTTGGTCTGCCATCTCAGTGGAAGTAGAGGAGGGAGATCCATGTGGCAGCAAAGATGCAAAGGCTATTGGTGGGTTAGAAATCACAGAGGCACCTGAAAATTAGGGCATAGGAATTAGGGTGGTGGAAAAGGTGGTGGAATCAGTAGCCCGACTGAAGTGCATCTCCACTAGTGCATGCAGCATGGGCAGCAAACAGGAGGAACTGAAAAGACATGGTGCAGCAGGAAACTGCCGTAGTTGCCATCATGGAGACATAGTGGGACAAGTCACGCAACCAGGCTGCAATGGATGGCTATAAACTCTTCAGAAGAGACAGGCAAAAAAGGAGAGGCAGTGGGGTAGCCACTGTTAGGGAGTGTTTCAGTTGTCTAGGGCTTAATGATGGTGACAGTAGGGTTAAGTATTTATGGGTAAAAATCAGGGGAAGGACCAACAGGGCAGATGTCCTGGTAGGAATCTGTTATAGACTCCAGCCAGGATAAAGAGACAGATGAAGTATTCTGTAAGTATCTGGGAGAAGTTTCACCATCACCAGCCCTTGTTCTTGTGGGAGACTTCAACTTACCGTATGATTGTTGGAAGTACAACACAGCAGAGATGAAGCAGTCTAGGAAGTTTTTGGAGTGTGTGGAAGGTAGCTTCCTGACATACCTTCCCAACTAGGGAAGGTGGCCTGCTGAACTTGCTGTTTGTGAACAGGAAGGGGCTGGTGGGTGATGTGACAGTTGGAAGCCACCTTGGGCATCATGATCACAAAACGATAGTTTTTGATTTGTGGCGACATAAGGAGGGGTGCCAGCAGAACTGCCATCTTGGACTTCTGTAGGGCAGATTTTGGCCTGTTAAGGAGACTGCTGATGGAGTCTCTTGGGAGTCAGTCCTAAAGGGGCAAAGGAGTCAAGGAAGGCTGAACATGCTTTGAGAAGGAAATTCTAGAGGCTCAGTACGAAGGCTGGCAGGGAAGAAGACCAAGCTGGCTGAAGACAGAGCTTTGGTTGGAACTCAGGAGAAAGGAAAGGGGGCAGACAACTCTGGAGGATTACAAGGATGTCATGAGTTTATGCAGGGAGAAAATTAGAAAGACCAAAGCCCAATGAGAACTTAATCTGGCTACTGCCAGATTAAAATGTAAAAATGTTTTTACAAATACATCCACAACAAAAGGAGGGCTAAGGAGAATCTCCATCCTTTTTTGGATGAAGGGGGAGACATAGTGATAAAGGATGAAGAAAAAGCTCAGGTACTTAACGCCTGCTTTGCCTCAGTCTTTAATAGTAAGACCAGTTGTTCTCAGGATACCCAGCCCCCTGAGCTGGAACACAGAGACAGGGACTAGAATGAAATCCCTATAATCCAAGGGGAAATGCTACACCATTTAGACACACACGTCTGTGGGACTGGATGGGCCCACCCAGGGGTACTGAGGGAGCTGGCAGAAGTGCTTACTGAGCCACTTTGAATCAATTACCAGCAGTCCTGGCTAACAAGGTCCCAGTTGACTGAAAGTTAGCAAATATGATGCCCATCTATAAGAAGGGCCAGAAGCAGGATCTGGGGAGCTACAGGCCTGTCAGCCCGACAGGCCTTTTTCATGCCACGAAAAGTCGTGGAGCAGTTCATCCCAAGTGTCATCATGCGACACAGGCAGAACAACCAGGGGATCAGGCCCAGCCAACATGGGTTTGTGAAAGGCAGGCCCTCCTTGACTAACCTGATCTCTTCCTTTGTCAAGTTGACCTGCTTAGTGGAAGAAGGAAAGGTTGTGGATGTTGTCTACCTAGACTTCAGTAAAGCCTTTGACACCATTTCCCACAGCATTCTCCTGGGGAAACTGGCTGCTCGTGGCTTGGACAGCTGCACTGTTCACTGGGTAGAAAACTGGCCAGATGGCCAGGCCCAGAGAGTGGTGGTGGATGGAGTTAAACCCGGCTGGTGGCCAGTCACTAGTGGCATTCCCTGAGGCTCAGTATTGGGGCCAATCCTGTTTATTAGCTTTATCAATTATTTGAACAAGAGGACCAAGTGCCCCCTCAATCAGTTTGCAGACAACACCAAGTTGGGCAGGAGTGTTGATCTTCTGGAGGATAGGAAGGCTCTGCAGAGAGATCTAGACAGGCTGGATTGGTGGATCAAGGCCAGCAATATGAGGTTCTACAAGGCAAAGTGCCAGGTCCTGCATTTGGGTCACAGCAACCTCAGGCATTGCTACAGGCTGGGGGAAGAGTGGCTGGAAAAGTGCCCAGCCAAAAGGATCTGCGGGTGCTGTTCAACAGTTGGCTGAATATGGGCCAGCATTGTGTCCAGGTGGTCAAGAAGGCCAATGGCATCCTGTCTTGTGTCAGAAATAGTGTGGCCAGCAGGACTTGGGCAGTGATTGTCCCTCTGTACTTGGCACTGTGAGGGCACACCTCGAATCCTGTGTTCAGTTTTGGGTCCCTTGCTACAAGAAGAACATTGAGGTGCTGGAACATGTCCAGAGAGGGGCAATGGAGCTTGTGAAGGTTCTGGAGCACAAGCCATAGGAGGAATGGCTGAGGGAGCTAGGGTTGTTTATCCTGGAAAAAAGGAGGCTAAGGCTTATCTCTCTCTTCAACTACCTGAAAGGAGGTTGTAGCCAGTTGGGGTTTGGCTTGTTCTCCCAAGTAACAAGTGACGGGGTAAAAGGAAATGGCCTCAAGTTGTGCCAGGGAAGGTTTAGATTGGATATTAGGAGGAATTTTTTCACTGAAAGGGTGGTCAAGCATTGGAACGGTCTGCCCAGGAAAGCAGATGAGTCACCATCCCTAAAGGTATTTAAAAGATACGTAAATGTGGCATTTAGGGACATGGTTTAGTGGTGGACTTGGCAGTGTTGGTTTAACAGTGGGACTCAATGATCTTAAGGGTCTTTTCCAACGTAAACAATTTGATGATTCTGTGAATCTGGGGGATGAGAGGACAGATACTCAGTGACAAGCCACAGGGAGCCATGTGATGCTTGGAACCTATGGATGTTGGGGTCGAGCACAGCAGTGCTTTGCCCCAGGCCATGTCTTTGACTGCTGACCAGGAGTGAAGCAAGGGATGTCTGCTGGTCTCCTGCCCTCGGACTGAAGGCAGCTTGGCAGCCTGTGTTCTGCTAGGGCTGCTCTCCTGTGTCATGCAGGCAGGGGGCCCCCCTGCTCCTCATGCTGGGAGCCAGGCACACCATCAGCATCCCAGTGCTGTAGGGGAGCATGCTCCCTGCTGAGCTCTGGCTGCTTCTTCCTCCCTGCCAGAAAAGTAGCTTTCTCCTCTCCCTTTGCCTTCACTGACTAAGTGGCTCCCTCTGTACCTGGAAGCTGGCTGAGAGAAATGCCCATTGGTGGCACTTCATCTCCCTGACTTCCCAGCAGCAGGGTGTAGAGCACGGCAGAGCACAGCCATGGGTTGAAAGGTGGGCCTGGGAAACCTCGTACTAGGCAGAGAGGATGCAATTTCACCCTTTGAGGTTCCAGCCCTGCATGTGGGGTTGCTGGTGCTGCTGCTCCCACATGTCAATACCAGGACTGCTGTACCAGAGCCACTTCCTCTTCTCCTGCTAATCTCCCAGCAGTAGGTTCTGAGCTTAGAAAAATGTGTCAGATGCCAGAGCTTCATTCAACGCGGCACAGGCTCGTTCAAGTGGCTAAATTATAGGCCTTGAACAGTAGCTCCCTGGCTGTAAATCTCCAGCCAGGACAGGATAAACTTGGCTCTTTCATTTCTCTCGTCTGCTCTGGCACATCCTGACTCTGTTTGCAGAAAGACTTCCTTGGGGCCCCAAGGGTCCCATGACAGCAACCTCTCCTGGACTGACACTAGCAGCCTGGCAGGACATAGGGGAAATGCTTGATGCCCTGCATGGGAACCCAGTTGTCTTGGCACTGTGCTCTTACCTGTCCTGCTCTCCCTTGGTGGTGTCCAAAGTCCTCAACCCCTCCCTGCTCCCCCAGCAGTGGTGGCTGCATGTGTCTGGCTCTAGCATAGCCACTTGCTCTGTAGGACCTCCTCTCCCCCTGTGGTGATCTCTTCTCTAAGGAAGAGGACTCCATTCAGACAGGCTGGAGGCGGATTTGAAGCTCTCCTGCCATCCTAGGAGAAAGGGTCTTGGATCTACAGCTGGCAGTGGCATGCTCTGTTGTGCCTGCAGTCACATGCTCTGCATGGCCTCATGGAAGTCTGTGGGACCTTACTCAGTCAAGTCAGCAGGAGGCTGAGCTTCCCCTTCTCCCAGCCCCCCATAGTGCCCCCACTTCTGAGCACTGTGCGACAAGGTGCACCATGTTAATCAGAGCAGTTCCTCACCTGGTGTAAGTGAATGCTGAGATGTGCACTGCACAGCCCTGAGCTTCATCTGCTTAGGATAATGGTGGAGCACACAAAAGCCACCAGAAAGGCCATGGCATCAGCTAGATGTGTTCTTGCCTTCCCTGTAGCTCCCTGCCAGGAGTCATTGAGGGGGGCATAGGAAGCAAAGGCATGTTTCACAGGGGCATGATGGTCACAGAGGCAAGAAGAAGAAAGCAGCAGAGTCACAAAGGGAAGTTGTTAGCTCCTGGTCAGGGAGTACTGTTTGCTTTGCTGTGCCCTCTGTGCAAGCCATGAAGTGGCTGGATAGCTCACTGTCACTCAGTGGTGGAAAGTGGCTGTCTCCCTTGTCTCACACCAAGAATCACCCTGTCTTGTTCTGTCCCTGTCTTACAGCAACCACGGCCAATCGGTTCTACAGGATAGACCGTGCACAGGTGAGTGCAGCCTCGTCCTCCACCATCATCCCCCTGGCATCTGCTGGAAAGGTGCTTGGGTGTCCCACCTTCATGCAGACCAACAGGCAGGCATAGACTTGGGGTCACGCAGGTCTCGCACTGCTGCCCTGCCCTGTGGCATCCCCCAAGGGATGGCATGACATGCCTGGTTCAGCACCAGCCCCAGCACCTCCAGGTTCCTGGAGAAAAGAGAGAAAGTGTGGCTGGTAGCACAGAGCCTTGGCTTGGAAGCTGCCCACAGGGCCCTAGAGTGGAGTGGGTAAGGTATAGCAAACATAGCAAGACTGATCAGGGAACTCACTGACTGGGGTCATCTTCACCAACATTAGATGCTTTCCCCAGTGATCTGGAGAAGAGGACATGGAGATGAGGTTTACAGCCTTGATAAGTTGGCAAGGCAATAGGAAGCCTGAAAAGGACAAGGAGATGTGAAGGTTCCCAGGCACAGGACTCTTCAAGCCACCACTTTGCTGAGCAAGTGGGTGGGCTGCAAGGCACGGGATGTGAGGGGATGGAGCTATGCAGAAGGCAGTCTTGCTTCTGAGGAGGCCTGACTTGTGTCTTTCAGGAGCACCTGAATTATGTGACAGAGATCTCTCAGGACGAGCTCTATGTGTTGGACCCAGAGCTAGTGATCACCCAGACTGTGAGCACCTCTCCTGCCATGCCCGACCTCGTGGACTCATCTGCCACACCCCCTGGGCACCACTTTGCATTCCCCTCCTCTTCCTCCTCTCCACCCTCTTCTCCTGCCCCCAGGTGAGTCTGGAATGGGGTACCTCAGGAAGGATGGGCAGTGATGAGAGAAGCGGGGTTGGCTTCACAACATTGATCCCTGGGCCAGATTACAGAGGGGCTCCCGGGAAATGAGCAGGAATTCAGTGCTGAATTAAACCAACGGGTGAGATGCCATCCTATCTTCCTTGTTCCTCTGCCAGTGCTGCTATAAGCAGTGGAACATCACCAGGTGCCTGAGGCATGAGGTAAAGCTCCAGCACCTGGCCTATGGGGCAAAAGACATGGGTGTCTTTCAGTCCAGCTAAGGCCAGCCTCAGGTATGGAAGAGCAATGGAGCTAGGAGCAGCAGTAGAAATGGGAGTGGGGATGGGGAAGAACCCAGATCAGGGAAGAAGTAGATGGCATGGCCAAAGAACAGTCTCTTGGTCTGCTTCTCCTCCTGCCTGCTGAAGGAGTGCCACAGGCAGGTTTCTCCACAGCCATTCCTCTACCCACGTCGTGTACTTCTGGGTGATCTGCTGCCAGGACTGGCGGAGTTAGTTACACCTTTTCTTCTTCCCTTCCAGCGCTGAGCCTGAGCGCTGCCTCCCACACAGAGGTGAGTTGTGTCCCAGCCCCTGTCACACCTTCTCAGGTCATGCTTTTTTTGTTTTCCTGCCATGTTTTTTTTGGCCAGTTCTTTCCCTGGTGAGCAGGTAGGAGCCCTGCTGCCCATGTGCTGGTGGGAGCAGGGAGCCCTGTGGGCAGGTGACTCCAGAGGTGGGCAGGAGACACCTGACAGTGACTAGTGGAGCAGCCCAGCCAGGCACCTTCCTGGCTCCACTGTGCAGGAAATGATGTGGCAAGGGGTTAATCTCCCACCTGCAGAGCTGAGCACTCTAGGCTGGGTTGGGAGGCTGTCTCCACTGGGCAACTGGGGAGGTGGGAACACAAGACAGGGGGCTCACCAAGCTGAGCAAATGGAAAGAGTTTCCCGAAGCTTGATCAGAGCCTGGAAGTGTGAATGAGTCATTGGTGAGGAGTATCTTGGCCGCTGGCTGATGCCCAGGAGATCTGCTCCCCACTTCCATCACAAGTTATCCTGCCCATGGGCAGAGACTACTCCCCCTACACATGCACCTCACAGGGGCTGAGGTCTCGCTGCACCCCCAGTTATGTGATCTCTCCTTCTTTCCCCTGAGTTGTCCCTTACATTCCTGAAGTTGGAGGAGCCATGTCTGACCAAGGGATTAGCACCTGGAGGATCTTGTGCTGTACCCTTAGCAGACTGCTCCACACCTTGTGCCCAACCCTTGTCTCCAGCATTAGGTAAATTGTGTTACAGCTTGACTTTTCTGACACTGATACATCTCCCTTCTTTGCAGATGATCTTCTAATAGAAGCTGCCAAGGGTGGCAACTTCAGCAAGGTAGGTGCTCCTACAGCCTGCTGTGATGAGCAGCCAGGGCTGGCTCTGGGCAGCCTCCCTGCAGCCTTCTCAGCTGGCATGCCCCTCAGGCTAAGGGAAGCCCTGCCAGCCATGTGAACCCCAGTTGCCCTGGAGCAGCTCCTGTCAAGGGCCTTCCTTCAGGAATGGTGACTGGAAAACAGGCAGGCTTCTGGCAAGAACCTGTGTTCCTTTCCTGGGGGACACATAGGAAAGGGACTTGGCAGCACTGCTGAGCTGGACAAAGCTCCCCGCCAGCCTCAAATACACATACAACCTGTCAGGCACTTCAGGGACACAGTGCCAGGGCTTGGGTCTTGGAGCTGGGAAAGGCAACTCATCCTGAGCAATCTGGGAATCTTGTAGTTCCAAGAGCTGCATCGAGCTGGAAGAGACCTGATGGTGCGAGACTCCTCAGGCCAGACTGTCCTCCACCATGCCGTCAAATCAGGGAGCAAGGACATCGTCAGATACATCATCGAGAACGGTGAGCTGGGGACAAGAGTGCCACCTTTAGCAAAGGAGCCTGGCAGCTAAAAAAGCCCAAACCTCTGCTCGGAGGGAGTGCTCCTGGTCTTAGATCCCCTCCCTCTGGGTTTGCTACATCACCCTTCTGGCATCTGTTTGCCAGTACTGGGGTGTCCCCACGGCTGTTCCTGCATCCTAGCAGGACCCAGCATGTCTCAGTGTCCTGCTTCTGCCGTCGGGGCAGCTGACCTGTTGTTTTTGGCAGCTCCCAATTTTTTCAGCTCCCACTGAAATACAGGCTGCTTTATTTAGATATTTCTCTATAATGAGTCCACAACCAACACTTCTTCCCTGGGATCAACTGGGCTCAGATGCTGTTGCTGACTTGAGTGCTTTGGAGTTGGGACTTTGTCAAGCAGCATAAAAATAGCAGCCTCTATGGAACAATGCAGAATGTGACTAGGGAGTAGGTAGGTCTGTCTCTGCCCTGCAGCGGGTCTCACTCACCCTGCACTCTTTCTTTCCACAGCCCCTTCAGAAATCCTTGATGCCACAGAGGAGGAGAAGTAAGTTGCTGACCAACTTGTGTTACCTGTTGGCCAGACCCTCTGCGAGGTGACCGGTCATTAGGGCACTTCAGCTGCCTGTGCTCTAATTACCAGCCATGATTCCCAGTCCGTTTTGGACTGACTGCCCCTGCCAGGGCTTCCTGGACAAGCACACAACCCACCATCAGCTTCTGCTGCCGCTGAATTGCTGTCTCTCGCTGCCACCCGCATGTGCTGCTTGTCCCCATTTGGGGGGACATCTCACATCTCCTGCTTTCTCCTCCCCAGCGGTGAAACCAGCTTGCACCAGGCTGCAGCCTTACGCCAGCGCACTATCTGCCACTACATCGTGGAGGCCGGGGCTTCGCTCATGAAGACAGACCTGCAGGTGACAGTGGAGGGGGTGGCAGTGGGGCTTTCTGGGGTGACCAGAGGGCTGGCAGGAGCAGGGCCAGCAGGAGAGCAGAGCAAGGGTGCTTTGGGTGGGTGTTTGCCAGCCAGAAAGGACCTGACATGGAGCACACATGCTTGCCCAGCAGAGTCCAGCTACAGAGGGGTTAAATCCCTCTCCTCGCTGCACTTCTCTCCCTGTTGTTTTATTAAATTAGAAGCGAGGGGCTGGAATGTCTCATCCCTGTCTCCCCCTTCCCACCCTCCGGGGTCAGAGCAAGGACATTCTCCCTGCAAGCTCCCTCCCAGCTGCAGGACTCCCCCCACTCTCCCCCACAGGCAGTCATGATGGGGGAGCTGGGAGCTCCTCTCAGTGGGTGAAGCTGGCCCATGAGGAGCAGAAGCAGGCAGTGGCAGCACTTTCCCTTACATGCTGTGTTAATTGAGCTGTGCCTTGGCATCAGGGAATTGTGCCAGCCCTGGCAGAGATGCCGCAGAAGGGGGGGGGCTTGAGGCCATATTTTGATACAGGAGATTCCTAGGGCTGGCATGCAGCAGAGAGAATGTGGTCAGATCTGTCTAGTGGAGACTTGTAGTGATGGGCTGTAAGAGAAAAGATGTAGAACAAGCCAAGAAGGTCCAATCTGGACAGGTCTGGGGCACAGGTTCAGAGCCCAGCTGAGGGGTGCAAACTTGCTGGAGCTGGTGGAGCTTGGAGGTCAAATTTAGACAATCCCAGTTTGCCAGTGGCCAGGGAGATGCTGTACAGATAATCTCTGGCTCCCCATCTCTATTCCTTGGTCCTGTCTAAGGCTTAGGCTTTGCACAGCATCCAGAGTGGGGCTGGGCTGGATGGACACTTGGCTGGCAGAGGCATGGGGAGAGAGCAGATCTGGGGGCACAGCTCCTCTCTGTCCCCAGCCCCCTCATTTGCCTGAAGGAGGGGAACAGCCCCCAGCCAGCCAGCACAAAAGGGAGCCTCACTCAGGCATGCTGCCTGCCCCAGGGAGTGGGCTTGCACGTGCCTGTGCATGTCAGGGTTTGTAGCTGTCTGGGGACCCCTCTGCGCCGCTGCACTGACCTCACATGGGCTCTGGGTCACAGCCTGCCTGCACAGGCAGGACCCACCTCGTTAGAAACCCTGGCGTGAGACCTGTAGCACAGGTTCAGAGTGGGCTGATCCCACTCCCTGCAGTGGTGAGGGAGGCTGAGCCTTATCAGTTGGCATGCCTGAGCCCAGCCGGGCAGAGAGGCCCTGGCAGCTCTGGTTTCAGGCTGCAGGCAGCATTGCAGAGGGGCTTCTGCAGGGGGACAGGAAAGAAGCTCAATTCCTCCTCCGTTAAATGAGCGATTGCATTGGGGGGCTGTGGGGAGGAGGTCCCTGAGGAGAGCCAGAACCAAAGCAAAGTGGTCTCCATCCCCCTGATGGTGTGGCTGCTGGGGGATGTGTGCAGGGCCATGGGGTGTGCCCAGTCTTGGGGCGCACATGCAAAAGAGGGGATTTCTTGGTGCAGCCATGGGTGGGCTTTTGTGGCACACCACTGCAGCCATGGGTGGGCTTTTGTGGGCAGCCCTATCCAGGCCCAGTGGAGGTTCCACATGTCTGATCATTGTTCCTGATGGAGAAATGTGGCTGTGGGCTGCTCTAGAGGACCAGGCACCCTGCTGCAGCTGCCTGTGGCCTGCTGGGCACTGGGGGATGAGTGGGGCAGGCCGAGTGTCCCTTCCAGCCTTGGTTTTCAATGGCAGTGGCAGAGTGCCAGGTTTCTGTGGCTTTTCTCAGTGGCACGGCAGAGCCTGGGCACTTGGTAAGGAGGAGCAAGGGGAGGGAGAGGAGATGGAGCTGGGAGCTGTTAACAGATTTGCTTTTTATGGAGTGCGGGAGTTCATTAGTGGACACAGTCCAGATGGCTGCAATAAGCTGGTGAAATGTGATCCTCCTCCGGGAGCAGGAGCGAGCAGGAGTGCTAGCCAGGCTGAGAGAGAGAAGGGGGGTTGGTATTCCTGGGCATTCCCCAGACATACCCCTCATTCCTCACCCTTTCCTTCCTGCCTCCCCAGCATAGGGAAAGAGCAGGTCTTGGGGAACAGCCTTTGTCTCCTCTTGGGTGGCTGGTGATGGCCAGGGTCAGTCTCTGTCCTAGCCATGCCTGGAGCTGATGGCTCTTCAGGGGACAGTTTCCAGTCCTGCAGCAGTCAGGCTCCTCAGGACCACACTCTCATCCCATGGTGAGCACATGGGCATTTGGCTACCACCTGCCTTGGGGCTTGGCTGCAGGCTCTGCTGGACCCAGTTGCATGGAGGAATAAGGGCACCTTTGGGTGCCAAGGCAGTATTTAGGCAGTGTTTGGCACTGACTTCTTGCCTCCCCTATGCAGGGAGACACCCCAAAGCACCGTGCTGAGAAAGCCAATGACCCTGACTTAGCTGCCTACCTCGAGAACCGACAGCACTACCAGATGATCCAGCGGGAGGACCAGGAGACAGCTGTGTAGTGCTTGGCGTGCCTTAGCCCAAGCCAGCTTGGGTAGGACAAGAGGACAATGCCAACTGGCAGAGCTATGAGTCTGGCCCAACCCTCTCTAGATGTCAACCTGGTCCTTGGAGATGGATACAGCAGAGTTCTGCCCCAGGCTGGGCTGGGACTCTGTTTATGAGGACAGTGGGTATTTCGGACTTGAAGCCTGATTCTTTGTGCGTCCACTCCTTCACGTCTCATTCACCACATTCCCTGCCCTAGATGGGCTCTATCCCCTGGCCATATTGAGGCAAGCCAGGCTGAAGCCCCCAGTCACTCTTGTGCATGGGAGTAATGCCAGTGCCCCCTCTGCAGGCTCCTGCCTATGATCCTTGTGGGATATCATTCCTCAGCCCCTCTCTCTGCTGGCAGTGCCCCTCTTTTAGGTGCTTGGCTATGTTCAGGTCCTGTTCCTCCTCTCCTGTCTGGCACAGCTGCAGGAGGCACAGGTTCTGCAGGCAGACAGCAGAGGCCATGAGCCTCAGACTTTGCCGCAAGGGAAGCAGCACAACTTACTGCCCCTGCCTCTTCTGGCTCAGGGTATGGATGGCACAGAGGAAGGCTACCAAGCCGTCCCACCATCCTTCCCTCCACAGGGCTGGGTGGGACAGCTTGCACACCCAGTGTCTGCTGGGCATCTCTCTGTGAGCCTACTGCAGCAAGTAGCCATGGTGGAGAGCTACTTGACCTTGAGTAGTGCCTGTGGTGAAGCCTGTTGTATTTCCCAAATGCTGACTTGGATTCAGCTGCCCTCCCTAGTTCAGTTTCCCCTTCAATGCTAGTCTGTGCATGGGGCTGGAGGAGCAATGCTGGGGTCAGTGCTGCTCTCAGGGATTCCCCCCCATGCCCCTCAACCTGACAACATGCATCTTCTGAGTCCAAGTCCTGCCATTCCCTAAACTGGGCACAGGACTTTGCAGGGAAAACTTCAGAGCTCACCCAGCCAAGGCACAAAGTCCCTGGGCAGGCCACCAGCTCACTGTCTCCAGTTTTTTCTCCAGAACAAGGAACCTGGGAAGCATATGGGCTCCCAGCCCTGAGTCGCGCCTGCAGGGGGGCCTGCCATGGAGCATGAGGCACCACAACCCATCTCCCCTGCAGTGGACACTTGATGCAGAGGCATCAAGCCAGCCTTTCAGCAAGGCTTTTGGAGAACTGGCATTCTCTGAGACCAGGAGGTGCCAGCAGAGGAGGAAAGCTAGTAGCTCTGGGCCTGGCAAACCTGCTTGGCACTTTCAGGTGGGCAGTGAAGTGGGTTGCTGTTCACAGCTTGGATCCTGGGAAAGGATACTGCTGCTGCCGCGTGGGGTCTGTACAGTCCCTCTGCACTTACACCCAGCTGCGCCCACTGGGTAGTGCCAGATGGCACCATTTGAATCCCCTAATACCAATACCAAAAAAAGGTGATTATACCACAGAGAACCAGAATACTCTTCAGGTTTTTTGGCCAGGGGCAGAGTTCCCTTTGAGGATGAGGGATATTGTAGTGGGGAACAGAGGCAGAGGGCAGTGCAGAATGGCAGGAGCTAGTGGCACTGGCAGTTAATAATGTTTGCATCTTAATGCATTCAGAGTTGGGATGCAGGCCAGTGACAAAAAAGGCACTGTCGTCTTCTCAGAGGTCCACACTACTGCTCTCCCAGATGGGACACCCAGCTTGGCCCAGAGGCATCTACAGCGCCAGCTTCTCCCTTTCTCCCTTATAGTTTTTGTACAGGTAGTTGAGAGACACACTGTCCCCCTCCCCACCTGGCCCCTCCATGCATGCGTGAGCTGAGTTGCTGTGCAATTCCAAGCCTGCTGGTATTTTGAAGATGGAGGGGGCATTGGTTGCCCTGCTCACTGAGGGCAGGAGTTCTGTGCAATACCTGGGTCTGTGTTTCCTAGACGCTGTTGTAGGATTGTATTTTTGTAACTCCGTGAGGATGCTGGCTCCAGCAGGTCCAGGGCCTGGCACAAGCCTGTGTTCCCATTGCTTTTCAACTTTGACTGTTTGGATGTTGTTGTTTCTTGCCATTGAAATAAAGAGATTGATGTTTTAGTTCCCATCTCCTGCTGCATCCGCAAGAATCCATAGGGTACTGCACCAGTGATGCCTTGCACAGCTCAAACAAGGTCATACCCCAAGGCCCCTGCCCCCATCCTAACCTGGAGGGTACTCTTGGGTGTTCCCTGTGGGCCCAGATCCTTGTCCACTTCCCAGCACAGCATCCCTCTGGAACTTTGCTGGATATGGGGTCTTTGTCCCTAGGGACCTTCTCCCCTGTTCTGTGTCATACATCAATACTCGGTGTAACACAGAACAGGGAGAAAGCGCACTGCCATCCCAAGTGCTCCAGAAGGGCTTGGAATTGTGAGTTAGGAGCAGGCTAATTGCTCCCTGGGGCAAAGGCAGCAGCCCCAGCGACTGCCCTGCCCTGCCCTGTGCAGCCCACAGCAATCGGTGGGTGGTGGGTACTACAGTGGCATCCAGCCTCCAATTTAAAACCATTTGTTGGCCTTTTTTTGTGGTGAGCTGTCCCTAGCCATGCTGCTCTGCAGGAGATGAGCCTGCCAGGGGCTATTCCTATTGTTTTCCCACTGGTCCTGTGTCTGGTGCTGAGCACTGAGGGCAGGGATTATCTCTCCCACCAGCCACTCTGGTGGGAGGACTGCTCTCCAATTACAAAAGCAGAGGATTAGGGACACTTCTGCTTCCAGCCCCAGACTCATAAGGATGACTGTGGCCAGCACCATCTCTCCTGCATAGTTTCCTTTGGAGAAGGGATGTAATCACTTTGGCTGGCGGCGTGCTGATGATGGAGCCAGAGATGGATATGGTGGGTGATGAGGAGCTATACTTGTACCTTGAACTGGGATTCCTGAGGGCAGTTTGGCAGCCTGCCTGGAGCTCCTGCTGCCCCCGGCTGCATTGCCCCTTCCACCCCTCTGCCTCTCTTTATGGTCTTCAACCTTTCAGCTTCTGCCCAGAGCTAACAGTGGGGATCTGTAGCAGGTATAAGGCACACCAAATTGTCCTGGCCTCCCCTGGGACCTGGCCTACATGGAACTGGGAGGAGGGGTCCAATCTGCTTCAGTGCCCAGACCCCAGCACTTGGCCCATGTCTCAAGAGTGAGGATTGTCAGTAACGATGGCAATTACTTTTGCACCTGACCCAGTGTCAGGAATATGATAGGGAAGAGAAGCTGTAACATAATCACTGTGATGAGGGGTGTTAGGAAAGGGGCAGTGTAGCTTTGGGGCAGAGGGCCTTGGTATCTCCCCTTTCTCCCTTTTAGTCAGGTGTTGGAGGTTTTGAGGTCTGTCTGCCCTCCTGTGGGATGGAAACACACCTGGGGATATATACACAGGGTGCATGGGTGCAGGCTGGAGAAGGCCATGCAAGCAAGCTGGGATGACAGCAGTTGGCTCTGTTAATGATTACCTGCCACACACCTCAACAAGGAAGACGTCGTCCCTCTCCAATGTGCAGCAGTGCTGCACCGTGCACTATCAGTTTCCCAAGGAGCAGGCTTTGACCAAAGATGGAATGTTCAAAGCAGAGCTGACATGCCATGAATTAGCTTGTGACATTTTTAGAGGTAAAAAGGTTGAGCAGTTGCGGGGAAACGCACCTGGTTTGGTCACACTCCCTCTTTTTCCTCCTTCCCTCAGCATGAGGCCCCTTTCTGCAAACACAGCCTGCTGCTTGTTTGAGCTGGGGAAGGAGCCATTTCTCCCACATCCCTCAGAAAGGGCCCAAAGGGATCAAGCACAGGCACTGCTGAGACTGATGTGCACCAATGCATCCCTGCTCTCCTGCATGGCCAGCACTTGTCTCCTGGTCTCCAGCCCAAGAAGGCAACAGGAGGGGATTGGGAATGGCTGGAAATGGAAGGAGTGAAAGTTCAGGATTTCACCATACCTTATGCTGCTCTGCCCTGGGGACCCCAGCGAGATCTCCAGCTCCTGGCCAGAGACAGCTGAAGAAAAGCAGCATTGCTCACTCCACACCTAGTTCTTTAAGGTTTCTACCAGGCCCTGGTTTGCTCATCACAGTCCCATAACTCAGATTTGCAAACGTGATGCACACCTAGGTCCTTCCCCATCTTTTTTACAGTGAAGTTTTTCTTGGCAGCTTTCTTCAGCTTTAGTTTAAAGGCCCAGCAACTGGGGGAGGCTGTTGGCCTTGCTACCTGCCCAGCTGTCAGGATCCATTTCTGCATCCTGTCCTCAAATGTACGGCCCAGCATGTCCAGACCCCTCACCACCCAGAGCAGTACCTGTTGCTGTGTATGCAGCAGGCAGGGGAGATTCCATGTTCCCACATTTGCCAGCCTCCTCAAAACCTCTGCAGATGTTCAGGAAACTGCTGGCAGGGTGTGAGTTAAATGCACTGATCACTCGAGAAGAGAGCTGGTTTCAAAGCAGCTTATAAAAACCAGCCCCTCCTGCCCTGCAACCCCGCCTGTGCCGGTCCTGCTTTCAGCAACCTTCTTCCAGAATAAGGATGGCAAAACGGCTCCATTCCCCACCACAGCCCGATTCTTCTGGCATGACACTCGCCTTTCTGACTGCTAACTCCAGAGGAGAATTGGCTTGGCCCCTGCCTCAGCTCACCTCCTAAGAAAAGGGGGCAGATGTGGGGAAGGGAGCAGTCATGTCGGCAAGGTCCTTTTCATCCCCCACCAGCAGTCTGATACCGCAGCTTGGTCCAAGGAGAAGGGCTGCAGCATGGCTGAGCTGGGGACCTGCAGGCAGGTTACAAGGGATGGTCTGGAGAGATGCTTGGGCCAGCATGTTAGTGATGTGCTGCTTTGGGTACTGAGCAACTACCTCCCCCCCAGTGCCCTCCCACGAGGGGCAGAGCAAGCAGGGAGAGACCATGAAAGGTCGGTCCATCGATGCCAGTGGCTTTGATGGGGAAAGAGGCATCTACGGAGCTGGCAGAAACACGGTGTGGTTCCCTTCACTCCACCGAGGTCCCAGGACCACCTTCCAGCGTGTCTCAGAGCGGCATCCCCCAGGAGAGACCCTAATCGGCTGTTCAGCTGTGCACCCCTTCGGCCACTCAGTGATATTGGGGTGCGTGGTAAGCTGAACCCTCGCAGCTTCCCTGGTACCGCGCAGTGGCTGCGAGTGGGAGAGCACTGCGTTAAGGTGAGACCGGGCAGGGGGCAGGGGCCGTGCCCCGCGGGACCTGACGCCCCCGGGCCCAGCACACCCCCCAGACCAGCGAGCCACCGCCTGCCCGCGTTCCCCCCTCCCCGCCGGCCGAGGGGCCAGCCTGCCCCCTCCGCCGCCCTGCCTTTCTGCCTGCCGGGGGGGCTAGGGGGGCAGAGGAGGAGCTTGCGAAAAGTTTTGGGCTAAAAACCCACCTTTTTGCTGCCAGCCGAGCCCGACGTCAGGGGCCGCTGTGCGCTGCGCAGGGATCCGCACGCGGCCGCCACACAAAGGCAGCAGCTCCGCACCGCGCTGCTCCGCTCCGCACCGCAGGTGAGTGTGGCCCCCCAACCCCAGCACTCGGGGTCGGGCCCCCACCCCAAGCCCCCGTGGACGGCGGCACTGCCCGCCCGACGCCGCGGAGATGGGCGCCTTCGGGGAGGCGAGAGGCGACTTCCCCCTCACCTCCCCAGCGAGGCGGCAGTAATCCAGGCTGAGGGTTCCCCGCAGGGGGAAGGGGCTTTGCCTCGGTGGAGAACATAATCCTGCCTGGTGAGGAACTGCAGAAAAGGGCGATTGGGGCAGGGGTGCCGGGGGCGGCGTACCCTGGGGTGCGGGATCGCCTGCGAGAGCTGGGAAAGAGCCCGGAGATGCAGGAGGATGGAGTTTAGGAGGGACTCAGGGCACCTGAAGAGCAGACGGGTTGAAGCAGTGGCCTGGTGTCTTAGCCCCAGTCCTCTTGGGAAGCACCCCACTGTCTCTCGGGGAGAGCTCAGCTGGTGGGAGATGCACCGACTGGAGCCTGGGGAGCTGCCCCGGAGCGGGGCTCGGCCACTGCCACCCTCTCTGGCGGCCGAGGGGAAAGGGCTGTGCTGGGGCCACGCACAGCATCTACTCTGGTGTGGGAGCAAAGAGCAGAAGTGCTCCCCTCTCTGCCCCTAGTGCACGGGCAGAACATTTTCTCCCTGGAGCACCTTCTCCTCCCGCGAGCTGAAGGTGAGGCCGCCTGCTGGAAAGCCCCAGAGCCCCCCGGGTCTGCTCCCCTCAGCACCTCCAGCAGAACCTCCTGATCATGCTAAGGCCTTGGCTCACGAGGAGAAGCTCAGTCTCCCCTTTCCTGGCAGCAGAGAGCTTCATGCTTTCTGTGTGCTTGGCACTCCAGGCCACAGGCTCCCTGAACGCTGGGCTTCCCAAGTGCTGGGCTCCCTGCCCAGAGCAGCTCAGCCCGCAGAGGCAGGACCACAGTCCCGTGCCCACCTCTGCCAGAGCCATCTGCAATTTGAGCCCAGCCAAGAGGTCCCACTGCTGGAAAAGGGACTGCAAGGGGTCTTGCAAGCCCAGCAGCTGCCATGCTACCTGGAGTGCATCGGGGCAGTAACGAGGGGAGAGGAGCTGGGGAGAGTGTGTGGCCTGCATTAGGAAAAGCCAGTGGCACTATCTGGCCCTGCGTAGTGTTCAGAAGGGATCAGGCTATTTGGAAAAACAGTTGGAAAACTGCACTCGCTTTCCCTTGTGAATGCATTAGGATGAGCCATGACTGAAGATCTCAGCAGACTTTTGCCTGGAAGATGTGATGTGCCAGGCAGAGCCTGGGAGCAGATCCAGTAGCTGTAGCTGGTCTGCCCTCAGAGTGCCCTTTCTCACATCCCTCTGCACACATGGGCAGGGCCCCACAGCACCCAGAGGGAGCAGACGGTGTCCATGCCTGGAAAGGAGGCAGGGGTGAGCATGGCAGCTAGGGCTGTCTGCCCTGGGGGCTTGAAGGCCTTGTCTGAAGGGTCAGAGCAGAAGGCACTGGGCTAGGAAGTAGGTGCAAGGAGCACAGGGAAATGCTCTGCAGCCAAGTATGGAAGAAGTTTGCAGAGAACCTGAAACCAGAGAGATGCTGTGAATATGTGCAGATGTCAGAGGTGCTGCCTTATAAGAGGTGCTGCCCTTTAAGAGCTGCTGCAGAAAGCAGGACAGCTGTGTCTGTAACTCAACTCAGCTCCAGCTTTGTCATCTATAACCAGCCCATCTGGGCTGAGCTCTTGTCCTCTTTGAAGGCAGGTGGGTGGGAGCAGAGCTGAGCCAAGCTGTGCTCGGCAGGATGGCAGGATGGCTCTCAGCCCGGCTGGGTGAGGGGGAACGCAGATCTCACCCTTGTGACTGTGCCCTTAGCCAGCCAGTCTGTGTAATTCCCTGTGACAGTTCAATGCAGAGCGAAGCCAGCAGCTTGGCAGCGGATGCATGAAAGGTGAGTGCACTGGAGCCTTAATAATGTGGGATGCTGCTCTCTCTGGCACACTGCCCGGGGAGCCTGGGGGCAGGGAGCAAACACTGACCCCAGGTTCTTCCCTTCATTGATGTCCTCTTGGGCCTGCAGTTCACCCTGTCCTCTAGAGGCCAGTCCTGCCAAGCACATCAAGCCCATTGTAGAGCCAGGGCAGGTGCGATTTATTTTCTGGCTGGCTGCTGCCGCGCAGATATGGGTGGCATCCTAGAGGACTTTGGTGGAGCAGGGAAGGGGATGCTAGCTCTGCACATATGCACAAGCTGGGACGCCAGTGTTGCCAGCAGCATCCCACAGAGTCTCATGGTGGCAGCTGGAGGGGAGCTGTCACCTGTTCCAAGGCCACCAGGGCAGGGGGTTGAGGGCAGGGTCCCAGGAGTCAAACCCTAAAGTGTGTGCACCCTTGTCCCCAACATGCTCCCAAGTGCATGCACACCTGTGCACCCCCCTGCATGCATAGGTGGCACCAGCAGTGGGCTCAGCACTCCCACTCCATCCCTCCAACAAGCTCCCACACTGCTTTTTTTGGTGTTCAATCCATTGGTTTAACTCTCAGACCCTGCCTGGCAGCAAGTTTGTTTTTCCCAGGCTTTTTTCTTTTCCCCCTGGCATCCTCTGGAACTGGAGAAAGGTATTATGGGAGCTGTGCCCCCTGGCCCTGGACAGCCTGCTGGGTGCTCAATAAAGAATCCACAGGCACCCAACTTTGGGACCTTCCCCAGCTGCTGTGTGGAGTGTGGGAGTCCCCATGGAGAGCATTTCAACCACACATAGGGCAATGAGGGGGCTGCAAGGATGGGAACAATCTTTCAGCCCTCTAACTCGCTGGTGGGAGGCACTTACTGAGCTACACAATTAACCTTCCTGTTGCAATTAATGCACATATTCTAATGGGTGGCAATGAGCAGGGCACAGGGGTGTTCACACACACGTGGGGGGGGGGGGTGCAATGGAGGCAGCTGCTGTCTTACCCCCGCGCAGGCTGCCCACAGCCCACTATGCCCTCTGCTCGACACCACATTGCACCCCAACCTCCCACCCATCTCACCCTCTTCCTCCTTCCCAGGCAGGATGCAGGTTCGAGGCCTCCTCCTCCTCCTGGTACTGATCCTGCTGGCTGCCACCACTGAGGCTGGCAAAACCAAGAAAGGTGAGGGGGCAGCCCGGTTGCAGGGAGCCAGTCGGGTGGGGGCAGCCTGGGGCGTGCTCTTCTGTCCTTGCAGAGAGCACCCACTCCTCTTTTCCTCACAGAGAAAGCAAAGAAGGATGGCTCCAAGTGTGAGGATTGGCGCTGGGGACCTTGTGTTCCCAACAGTAAGGACTGTGGTCTGGGCTACCGTGAGGGAACTTGCAAAGATGAGAGCAAGAAGCTCAAGTGCAAGATCCCCTGCAACTGGAAGAAGAAATTTGGAGGTGGGTACATGGAGGTAGGGTGGCTGGGGACCATGCCGGGGTGGGTGATGAGGGCTGATGCCCACACCAGGTCCTAAATAGCTCTGATGCCTGTCCCCTCTCATCCAGCTGACTGCAAGTACAAGTTTGAGAGCTGGGGAGGGTGTAGTGCTCAGACAGGCTTGAAGACTCGCTCAGGCATCCTGAAGAAAGCCCTGTACAATGCCCAGTGTGAGGAGATCGTCTCTGTGACCAAGCCCTGCTCTTCCAAGATCAAGTCAAAGTCCAAAGGTCAGTTCTCACTACTCCTGTCCCTAGAAGGGTCCTGCTGGGACCCTAGGCAAGGGTTTTTCGGAGATATCTTGGCCCATTGGAGTTGAGCTTTGCTGGTGGTGTGGGGGATTACATAGGTTGTTCTTTCCTTTGCAACTGCACACATGACAACCCCAAAGTGCAGCTGCTAGCTGGGTGGGATGCAAGTGCTGCTAGGAAAAACCCTGGTCCCCCCGCAAGTCACTGCCAGTTTTGGTGGGATGGGGATCCCCTGCTCTCCTCCCTGGGACTAGTGAAAAAACATGGTTTTACATGGTGGGTGGCCTCCTGCCAGGATGTGTCGGCCGCTGTGCTGTGCCATGCTGGCTGTGCTGGCTACATTTCTACCACAGCTCTGTCTGGGGGACCAGTGACTTCCAGCAGATACACTAACTCTTGTCTCCTGCGCTTCTCGAATGCAGCAAAGAAAGGCAAGGGGAAGGACTAGAACAGGAAGCCATCATCTTCATCGGCCCCTAAACATCGTGCCTACAGGACTGGATGCCCAGCTGCAGCTGGCCCATGCTACAGTCTTCCTTCTCCTCTCCTTCCTCCTTTCCATGACCTCCTGTTTCGCTGAGATGCCTTGTTTTAATCATTAGTGTTGTAGAGAGCAAACCCATCCACCCACCCTGCAGGAGAGGCTGCTTCCGTCCTTGCTACCCCACTGCCACTGCCAATGCCTCTCACTCATCTTCTCTCAGCTCACGTTGGGGTTCACTGGGATGCACCCAGAGAGCTGGGATGGGAACACATATTTTTCCACCCTCCAGCACAAATGAGTTGCCTTTAGCACATCCTTTGGCAAGTCCAGGAGTCTTATTGTTCCTCCACCAGCTACCGGTGACAGAGGGAAGGGGTGGGTGTTGAATGCCAAAGTAACTCCATTACTCCTGCCCCTTACTCACTTGAGGACTGCTCTCAGCTGAGGAGGCTTATTCTAGCATCCCTTTGGCTAGGGCACAAATTACCTGCAGCTGAGGTAAACACAACCATCACCCCCAGGAACCACTGTGTCTCCTCTCCTCTATCCCTTCTAACCATGTGTGTTCACACTAGGGCTGCAACCCTTCTGCCTTTGCCACACCAACACTGGTGCTGGGTGGGAGCTCTCACTCCTTCTGGAAATGGGGTTTGTTTTCTTTTCCAATAAAAATCTTTTTTTAAAAAGTATCAGAACCAACCTGTTGACCCCATGAAGTGCTGCTGTGCTGGAAACCCCAGCAAACCCCAGCTTTGCTGGCCACACCGGGACCACCAGTGAAGTTACAGTGCAACTGGCGGTGGTTGTCTGGGTGCCACACGAGCATGGTCCTGGAGAAAACACATGGGTCAGACCTCACAGCCTCTTCTCAGCAGCTCTTCAGGCTGCCCCACCTTAACCTCGACAGAAGGGATGGAGCTGCCACCCACACTGCAGGAAATGTCACCGGTAGTTGACACTGGGAAGTTGGGAAGGAGCACCCAGGTGATGACTCATTTACTCCTCACACTGTAGCTGTTGTTTTCTGATTCAAGGTCTTTATTTGTCTTGGGATGGGATGGGTTGGGCCACAGTTGTAACCATTTTAATATACCCAGAAGCCCACCAGGCATTTTGGGCACACCTGTGTGAATTATCCTAAAGGCAGTGGTGGAGGGGTTTCCATCTGGGTTTGGGCAGCCTTTCTCCAGGTTACGCAGCATCATCCTGGTGTGAGGATGGGAAAGAAATATGGACACAAAATTTGCCAGTGCTAGAGTGGCCCTGTCCCATTCCTTGTCTACACCTGGCTGTGTCCACCAATGCTTCCAGAAACCTGGCTTTGGAAGAAGCTGAGCAGCAGTCCTGGGATGGCCTGGGTTTGCACACACAGCGGAGCTGGGCGGAGGCTGGGAAGCTGGCAGAAGCCCGCATGCTGAGGGCTCTGCCACAACACCCACGACAGCATTACATCCATTTACAAAGCTCAGCAACTGGCTCCTTCAGCCTCCCTGGAGCATCCTGCTGCATCCGGGGCAGGAGAGGGCCTCTCCCGCCTCCAGAGCCATGCACCAGGCCTCCCACACCCACCATGGGGAGACTGGGGACCTGCTCATGGTCCAGATGAAACACAGGGCAACTCGGCCACATTGTAAACTCTCTTCCCACTTGCCTCCAAGGCCCCCAGGTCCCACGTGTCCCACCCAAGGACAGTTAATTTCACAGTCACTGCTGCCCACTTCTCAGGGGCCACGTTCCCCAGGCTGTGGAGCTAACTCCTGCACTACACCACTGCTTTCTTTGCAGTTTTAGTTTCCATCACCACAGGAGGTGACTGGACTTCACACTCCTCATCCAGGAGTGAGATACTTGGCTTGTTTTTCCAGGCATTTGCTGGCTGAGGACAGAAAGGGCATGAAGAGGACAGTGGAGCCAAAGTCCAGGGAAAAATTCTGCCCTGGGTTCCTGCATGAGGATGCCCGATGGCACTCTGAGGAGAAAGGAAGGAGCTTGCCACATGTTAGGGTGCAATCTTGCCTGCCTTGGGAGGGGGCCTGGCTGGGCCAGTAGGGCTCCCCATTAGCATGTCTGAGCTAGCCTGGTACAAGATGTCTAGCAAATGTTTGGCCCTGGTTTCTTTTCATTTCTTGGGTAATAAACATTTTAAAAGCCCATTGAAAGCATCCAGCATTAGCCCATCTGCATGCAGACAAGCTCTGATGCCCTGGAGACAGTCAGCCAGGGGAGAAGTTGCATCCAGTCTTAGGAGAAACACTGATGCCATTTGGCCAATCTCAAGAGCATGGAGCTGGGGAGGGCTCCTGGTGACCACATCTCCTCTTGCCTCTGGCTTTCATGCTGGCTCCCCAGGCTAGTCCCCAGGCCCTGGAAGGACTTGCAGCTCAGAAGTGCCTTGGATCTTTGTCAGCATTAGATGAAGGGCATCATCTGCAATCACTGCACAGTCTGCACTGTTGTGAGTGGGGAGCAGAGGAACCCCTGCTGGCAAAGGAGGCAAAGGGAAGGGCTTCCATAATGTTACTGAAGTGGTCCCTGAGTGCCAGTTTATCTGGCTGTGCCAATGTTCCTGTACTGGCACATGAGAAGGTGCTTGAAGGTTTTCTTGAAAGTGGCGTTGCAGAGGGCATAGCAGGCTGGGTTGATGGTGCTGTTGACATAGCAGAGCCAGTAGCCAATGTACCACACTGTTTCAGGTACACAGGTCTCACAGAAGGTGTTAATGAGGACCATCACGTTGTATGGAGTCCATGTGAGTATGAAGGCTAGCAGGATAGCAAATATGGTGCGGGTGACTTTCTTCTCTCGGGCTGCCATCTGGCGCTTTTTCCGTACTTGGCTTCTGGCAATGCTAGCAAACTTCCTGGCAACATTGGCTGGGCGGCTGTTGGCCAGGGAGTTGAGGTTAGAGGCTCCAGCCTTAGCTGGGACGATCTCAATGGCGGTAACACATTCACTCCCAGTCTGCTTGGTGACAATCTTAATCTTGGACCACTTGGAAGTTGGGTTCACCCGCGGGTGGGATGGGCTCTGTCCTTGTCCCACTGGCAAGATTTCTGCTGTAGGCTTATCTTTTGTGGTCTGGGTCATACTGACAGTGCTGGACTCATTAGATGTCTCCTTCTCTTCCTGATGGCCAGTGGCCTCTGTCTGTGCTGATGGCTGGTCATCCACTTTCCCATTCCTCACCTCCTCCTTCACCTCCACAGCCCTCTTGGGAGAGTTATTATTGTTCTGTTTGACCAGGGGGCCCTTGAGGAACCTGAGGGACTTGGCTTTCCTCTCTTTCCTGCTTTCAGGCTTATGTCTCCTCACCCTGCTTCTGCTGGCCAGGGAGATGTGGATGTACAGCACTGTCATGATGACTACGGGAAGGTAGAAAGCAGCAATGGCTGTGCCAAAGGTCACTGCTGGGTTGGAGAGGAACTGGATGTAGCATTCCCTCTCAGGGACTGTCCTCTTGCCCACAATGAACTGCCAGAACAAGATGGCAGGGGCCCAGAGAACGAAGGACAATATCCATGCGGCTGCAATCATCAGCCCTGCCATCTTGGTGGTCCTCCTGGCGGGGTACGTCAGGGGCTTGGTGACACAGAAGTACCGGTCAAAGCTGATGATGAGCAGGTTCATGACAGAGGCATTGCTCACCACATAGTCCAGAGCCAGCCACAGGTCACACACCACGGCCCCCAGCGGCCAGTAGCCTTTGATGATGTAGACAGTGTAGAGGTTCATGGAGAAGACCCCGATGATAAGGTCTGCGCAGGCCAGGCTGAAGAGGAAGTAGTTGTTGACGGTCTGGAGCTGTCGGTTCACCTTGATGGAGAGCATCACCAGGATGTTCCCCACCACGGTGACAAGGCTGAGCGAGCCAGTGACTGTGGCAATGAAAACCAGTTCCACTGTCTTGTAGTTGGTGGGAGGCTGGATGGCCACCTCGGAGCGGTTGCCCAGGGTGAAGTTGTCATAGGTCAGGTTGGCCATCTTTGCCTGCCAGGGCTGAGCAGAAAGGTTGTGCATGGAGTCTGCAAGGGGAACGGGGAAAGAAAGGGAGAATATCAGACTTGCCGGCCTGTGCTGGCAGCATTTGCTGCCTTCTCAATTTCCCAGGCCATCATTGCTCTTGGCTAGTGCTCAAAAATCTCATGGCATTCCTGGTCTTTCTCTGCCACTACAGCCTTCCCCCAGAAGTTCTCTGGAGGCAGTTTTTGTGTCCCTTTTTTAGCAGTAGAGGAGGCACAGAGGCTGCAGAGAGAGAAGCAGGGTCAGGTCTAGGGACAGCCCTTTGACCAGGGTGAGATGGTCCTTTTTTGCAGGGCCAGAAACTGCATCCTGGCAGGAGCACAGACCTCATGTGCCCCGGAGAGGCGCGCAGAGACCAAAGGTCTTCTGGGGGAAAGGGGCTGCAGAGCCCAGCAGTGATGCACACACAGCACTCGCTGCTAGAACAGCATGGCATGGAGCCAGTGCCCTGCCTCAGAGATGAGAGCGGGTTTATGGTATGCCTCAGGCATGTCCTGCTGAGCTCCCCAAGAGGGGGGTTAATCCACAAAGCCTGTGCCATGTCCCGCTCAGCTCACCTGTGTCTCTGGCAGCAAACAGTTCCTTCTGGAAGATGAAATCTGTGACAAGGAAAACAGCAAGTTACACTACAGCTTCAGACCCAAGGAGTTTGTGTGACTCCCACAACATCTTACTGGGGGCACCAACCTGTCCAATAGGTTGACTGCTTGGATGCAGATGGCTGAAAAGCCAAGGCTGAAAATGGGTAATTTGGCTTGGCCTGGTTCACAGCGCAGCCCTAGCAGGCGCAGGAGAGGGAGGGAGCTGCATGAGTGCCATCAGTCAGTGGCACTGGTAAGTGATGGCCCCTTACCCCAGTCCCACATCACGTTGCAGCTGCTGCCACCCCAGCCATGGAGATGTACAGGGTGAAGTCAGACACCTCAGCATGAAATTATTTATGGAAGGTGATGAGAATTATGGACAGAAAGACTGCCTTCATCCAAAACAAGATGCCTGTGGTTAACTCCCCAAGGTAAGAGTAGAATGGACCTTAAAAAAAAAATCAGTAGACCAAAATTTCTGTGTTGGGACGAAGGGGAATTTCCTGGAAGGTGAAGGAAAAGCAAAGGTGCTGAGGGAGATGGACTAAACAGAAGAGCTTCCCACTGGACCTGCCTCTCCTGCACCACACGGACCCCCAAAACATGCTGGGCCTTCAGCAGCTTTACCCTGTGTGCTGGGGTCATCCCAACCCCACCAGCCCATCAAGGGCAGCCTCTCCAGCAGCTTTGCCTGGCGCCCAGGGCAGTGGTCCTGCGAGGCAGCCCATCCAGCCCCATGGGTGCTGCTGCCAGGAACCCAGTGGAAACCAGTGAGCAAGTGGGTGTCCACACAGTGGGACATTGTGCCCTTGACACAGCATGTCTCTACAAGCTGGTGTGGGTGCTGGCTCCCAATGCCTGGGACTCCTGAAGTTGATTTTGCTAAGTGTATAAACATGCCATTAACATGCGCCTCTTCCAAAGGGGGTCTGGCAGGCTTTGGGATCAGTTCATCTATTTAAAGTATTTTAAAATAAATGCCCTTGTCTTTCATTTGTGGTGAGGGTAGAAGATTTCTACCATCAGCAAACAGCCAAGGTTTTAATATAACCACTTTCTAAAGAGATGCAGG